TTTTGTACTATTGTTTAAAGTTAAACTATATTTAAATTAGAGTTTTTAGTCTAATGTTTAAAGTTCTAACATTATTTATGAGTTTTGTCATGTTTAAAGTTTTACATGTTTAAAGTTAAACATATTAATGAGTTTTGCATGTCTAAAGTTTAACATATTAATGAGTTTTGCATGTTTAAAGTTTAACATATTAATGAGTTTGTATGTGCCAACAAACAGTTGTGTGAAATCAGAACCGAATGTTTACTAAAAGCATGTTAATTATGTTCAATAACTGATTACTTTTTAAGGATATGTGACTTTCTAAAAAAAAAAGTGTATGAACGACGTAAGGTGAAAAGACATCAACTGTATGACTAAAATTCTTGGCCGCTGTGTCTTGGAAAAGTTTCAACATAATGCCCGAGCTTTCTAATAAAGAATAGATTCCGGTATTGTTTGAATGGCTTCCCGTTACAGCAATTTTAAAATACCCAACTCCCTAACTCATATGTTCAGCATGAAGGATCCCCTGAATCACTTCCCTCCCTCACATTTTGTATCAGCTTACCACAAAGGCTTAACTTCAGTTGACAGTTGCACTATCTTGAAAATACAGGTCTGTCTTTTTGTATCCAGCCTGAAAAATAGAACAGATGAAGTAAACATTGTGGAAATAGTAACTGATGCTCAATGATGGCTATCAAAAAGTACAAAAGTTATTATTTTAACATTGACATGACGATATACTTGTACTGCTTGCTGTAGTTTGTAGTATATTTAACACATATGAGAGTAATGTTGAACATATCTGCCTAGATGTAGTCAGATAGGGGATGAGATCTCGTCACATTTACGTTGGTTGGCTAATTACTTATCAAACTATTATCCAGATGTTCTATTTCAGGAAGGTTGTTTCTCAATAATTACTATGAAAGGTTCTCTGCAAACTTTGATACAGCAGTGTATTTTACTTGTTAGATATATTTATTAACTACTCTCATTTATAGTGACACCATTGTACATGAAAGTTGGAGGACCGACAAAAACCCATTATAAAAGGGGAGAAGATTTTACTTGTTAAATATATTTATTAACTACTCTCATTTATAGTGACACCATTGTATATGAAAGTTGGAGGACCGACAAAACCCATTATAGAAGGGGAGAAGATTTTACTTAGTTGTACAATTGTGGGTGCTAAGCCTGCAGCGAACGCCACCTGGTATAATCGTTCCGAAACAATTCAGCCGCAACCTCTCTCAGACGTTAAGCTTGCAAGTGATGGGAGCTTCAAAACTATTAGCAATCTTGAAATAATTGTGTCACGATACGATCATCAAGGAGTATTTTACTGTAAGGGATCAAATCCTGTGGTGGAGAAGAATCGTGATCCTCCTTTATTAAAATCCATCAGCCTGAATGTTTTGTGTGAGTACTCGCTTATTTATGAACATACGAAAACATCATGTGTAACGTCCCAGCTAGGCTTTCTTAAGAATCGTTAACCAGTGTAAACATCATGTGTAACGTCCCAGCTAGGCTTTCGTAAGAATCGTTAACCAGTGTTAGATGATTAGTCAGTTATTCCGTTTATTTAACGTTTTATTTAAATAATAAACGCAATTAAAATTCTATTAACTCTGATTGTTTGTCTTTATTTCTATGAATGTTTTCATCTGTCTGCTGTACGTTAATCCAATACATGAGTTTTCAGTCGTCGTACCGAACGTTAATCCAGTACATGAGTTTTAGTCGTCGTACCGAACGTTAATCCAATACATGAGTTTTAGTCGTCGTACCGAACGTTAATCCAATACATGAGTTTCAGTCGTCGTACCGAACGTTAATCCAATACATGAGTTTTAGTCGTCGTACCGAACGTTAATCCAATACATGAGTTTCAGTTGTCGTACCGTACGTTAATCCAATACATGAGTTTTAGTCGTCGTACCGAACGTTAATCCAATACACGAGTTTTCAGTCGTCGTACCGAACATTAATCCAATACATGAGTTTTAGTCGTCGTACCGAACGTTAATCCAATACACGAGTTTTCAGTCGTCGTACCGAACGTTAATCCAATACATGAGTTTCAGTCTTCGTACCGAACGTTAATCCAATACATGAGTTTTAG